AGCGTCCGGTCATAATAAACAAAACAAAAATAATTACGTTACTTTTTAAAATTACATTGAATTATAATGAATACCTTACTTGACGGTTGAAACAAATTACATTAACCAGTATTTCATTTATCTATCTACATGAGTCTAAATAACTATACCTATCAATACATTTACAATTAATGATCATAACGGGAGTGTACCGTACCTACTGTTTCATACAAAGATTATATATAACAGATGGTCCGATTGGCATAATAGTGTGCCCCTGTGAGGATACGCGTAATCGTCCATGGGAAAGACTTCAACGCGGTCGTCCTTTCGTACGTTCCCTACCCTAAAACAATTTGATGTAACGTGTCATTATTTGGTCGCCTCGTGAGCTGGTTGTAACAATGGAGTTGAATTAGTGATTTCTATATGCACTATCTTTCCTATGGTAGCGCCGCATATCTTTAAAAGCACTTAGCGATACAAATACAAAACAAATTTATTGAATTACCTTCTGAAATCGTTATTAATTAGCAATTATTTAAGTTCAGTAGTGTATTGAACATAGAAAGTATCGAGTTTGTATAACAGTCTGTTATAGGCAGATATAAAGTATTAGTAGATTTTCACTGTGCTCTGTATATGGAATGATCTATGCCTGTTCTTGACACGAGTGCGCGTGTGGCGGATATTTGCGGAGATAGCGGCGTCTGCGCACTTTCTGACGTTGACTGTCCGCCACGCCTCGCTGCTGTGCACAGTTCTACTCTTTATTTAATGAGAGCTCGTTGATTAAATAAAGAACAAAGCAGCAACACAAAGCATTGTTTTGTTTGATAACAATCTTAACAAAGGATTTAAATAAGATACAATTGTCTTCGATTTAAAAAATATGATGCGTGCCGTTGAAGAAATTGTATTACATAATTTCATAAGTTTTATATGTTTTATAGAGTTGTCGCTGACAGAGGTCGAGACTATACATAATCTCAGTACGGAGTACTGAAAAAACTGACCTCAAAAGTACGTGGAATTACATCTATTTGCCAAGTTTTTTTGAAATCTGTTACCGGAAAGAGCGCAAACCCGGATTCATCCCTTAGTTCGCCACTAGGTATACCAGTAGAGATAATAAAAATCGGTTCTCACTACTCAAAGTATATTGAGAGAGTAAAACGCCTTGAATTAGAGAATAGCAAAATCAACCATTAAAATAATTGCTCCTTATAATAAAATTTAGGCGCTATTTATAAAAACGAATCTTCATGCGTGAACTCTCACTTTCACTCTTAGACGTGGAAGATTTTCTTCAAAATTAAATGGGACCATTATGGAGGTACCGTCTCTCTAACAAAAAAGAATCATGAAAATCGGTGCACAAATACCGGAGTTATCGCGTAATATACATACAAAAAAAAACATACAGTCGAATTGAGAACCTCCTCCTTTTTTTGAAGTCGGTTTAATATACTAATTAATTAGTGTATAATGTGCCAGAATGTATATAAATAAAAATGAATGTTTGTAATAATTTTGTAATATTAAATTTATTGCATATCCCGATGATTTACTACCATGATATTAAATTATTTTTGCGAAATATTACTCGACCATATTCTGTCCAACAGAGGCATGCGTCCGAAGTTCCGTAATTACTGACGTACAACACAGAGAAAAAAATGCAATACTTCCCGGACACTTTTATGTTTTAATTTTAGTGAAGCGACTTGCTCTTTAGCTCCAATATTTATCGACCCAACAGATTATGTAACGAACATTGTTCAAGTTGATAAATTTTGGTACCTGTGTAATAAATAATAATGGAATAAATTATAAATAATTATAATAAATTCTTGTTGTTTTTTATTTTTATTATGTGAAGAAGGAGGCAAACGAGCAGACGAGCCACTTGATGGGAGCTGGTCATCGTCGTCCATGGACATTTGCAACATAAGATGAGCTGCTTATGCTTTGCCAGCCTTTGAGAGCCCTATAAACACGCTTTTTGAAGAGCCCCATGTCATAGGAAGTACTTCAGGAGGAAGATCATTCCACATCTTGTAGGTTCGAGGCAGGAACGAACGAGATGCCCGCGTGGTCTTACAATGCCAGGCATCTAAGATGTGGAGATGGACTTGACTCCTTTGGCGGGAAGTGCGATGGTAGAAACGAGACGGTGGCACTAGTCCGAAAAGTTCCTCAGAGCATTCCCCATTATAAAGACGGTAGAACACCGTCTGCGAGTTTGGGATCGTCGAGAATTTATTATAATGAATCGTCGGATTCTTCTTTATTTGAACGGAATGATCACTGAATCCTCATTAACATTAATTATTAATTCTTGAGTACACAAATTGTCAAACGCAACATCACGATTCCAATCAGAGTATCTTCTTTTTGGAACCCTCTCACATTCACGATTAAAACTTCTTCATAAATAAAATCGATTGTCATAAAAATCGAATCGGAATCGCATTAGGACATCACTAATCGATTAGAATTCGAGTTGTCAAAAGTTAAATAAATGGTTGGACGGTGTATAGTTTGTTGTAATGAAATACAAGAAAAATTTTCGCAGATGTCGCTGCGGTGTCGAAAGCCGAAAACTCAATGCTATGCAATGCAATCTATAACAGACTCATAGAAGAAATTCGTCGATTTAGTAACTCGACCTGCAGCTTAGTTGGTAGCAATGGGGACGGAATCTCGTGGTCGCAGGTTCGAGTCCTATCGGGTTGAAAAATGTTGTTCCTTGTGTTAGATGTTTGTATTTAATAATTATAACAAACTAGTGGTTTTATTTCACAAATTAAAACAAATCAATAAAGCTGCAGAGTATGTGGCAAAATTGAAACATGCTAAGTACTGTGCCTTGGAACCGATGCACGATTTTGTGCCAATTGCAGTGTCGACCCGACCCGAAATCCCCGCAGATTTCGGGTGCGGAGGACAAAGAATTCATCAAGGAGTTGGGTAGTCGGCTTAGAGATATAGCCTGTGATCTACGCTCTGGATCTTACCCAAGTAAGATCCATTGCAGCAATGCAACAAATTTCGTTGGCCATTCACCGCGGTAATGCTGCCAGTGTTATAGGGACGTTCGAACCAGCTAATATTCAGAGCGGTCCTTTTTCATTGTAACAGTTGGATTAAAAAGGCTAAGTTTGGCTAATTGCATTATTAATTTTTATGTGACGAAGCCTGTTGCTGATTTATATTTTTGTATTTCTGACGAAGCCTACGTTGCGGATTGACATAAATATGTAATTCATTTAGTTTTTAAATGAATTGAAAAAATCAACAAAGAAAAATTCCTTCGATCCTGCTGGACCCGAATCAACGACTCCGCCGCTGACGCTATAGCGAGTCACGGTATGTTGAGGTCGGTGAGGCGTTTGATCTTTGTATTAGTAATTATAAATGAATGTTCGTTTGAACGCTCCTCTCGTATGCGTTCTATAATTATTCATCCGAATGCGACAAATCTTTCGTAGATAGTTGTACCCACGCCGGCAATTGTTTCCGAGGACCATTTTGAAATATTATATTGGTATTGTATAACATTTAGTAGCAGTAGAGCTCCTTGCGAAAGAGTTCGTCTAGGGAAGTACTGCCACCTTACCTATTTCTGCCGCCAAGCAGTAATATCAGCATTACTATGTTCCAGTTTTGAAGGGTAAGGGTGTTGGTGAAATTACAGGCACATGGAACTTGTTAACTAAAGTCTCAGGGTGACGGGCGCAGAGGCAGTGCCCCTCAGATCTTTGCGATTTAAAGCACTGAATGGCACTGCAACTGTTATGGAAAGGCACGTGGCTTACCATCAGGTGCACGACTTGTTCGTGTCGTCTTTTGATATTATAAAAAAGCCGTGTTTTTGCAGATACACTTCACCACTATTTCTTTTGTTTCAGTAATCAGAACGTGCCGAACAATGCCACCTATTTAAGATCAAGTGAAACGTTAAGGGCCCATGGATTAACTGTAGTTAAGAATATAAGGAGCATTGAATTTACATTTCATTTTATTGTTATGTAGTGGGGTATACTTTACCGGTTACTTTGTAGATATGTTTAAGCTATAATAATTATAAATCTTTGGAAGAGGATTCGTGAATACAAGTAAAGGATTGGTCAGGATTGTGCAAAGTGGCGATGGGACGAACAAGTCCTGCGTCTGGTGGTAGGACACTCCTATCCATAACAGCTGCAGTGCCACTAAGAGAGATCTTAGGGGCACCTTCAGACGTAAGTTGACAAGTCCCATATGCCAGTAATTTTACCAGCACCCTTACCCTCCCAAACCGGAATGCAGTAATGCTAACATCATTGCTTGGCGGCAGAAATAGGTAAGGTGACAGTACTTCCCTGGGCGAACTCTTAAAATTTCTCCCGGCCCGGGAATCGAACCTGCTCTGCGTGGCAGTCCAGCATGGTAACCGTTTAGCCACGGAGACAGTTAAAATTATTTATTAAGTATTGAAATACAAAGATCAAACAACAGAAAGAACACAAAGAAAAATTCCCTTGATCTGACTGGACTCGTAACACTATTTGTTGCCACGCCCCGGGACCAACATATTGCATGAAATATTGCAGAGCACTCTATTCTAGGTAATCTACCGCGAAAAATAGAGTCATAATAACAGACTTTGCTTTTAGGAATGTTAGAGTAATAAAACAATCAACATGCACCTGCAATACTGAATAAATTCAAGGTGAAAGTATGAAAAGTAACACAATTAAAGTATTGCACATCTTCGTAGGCGACACACCAGTGAACATGCGTGATATCATCGAATTTTCTTATTCGGTGAAAGTCACACTAAACCTACCGAAGTACCGAACTAAAGAAACTTTTTACGTGGAAAATGTACCAACAGTACCAAACAGTACCCTCATTGGTTGCCAGTGAAGACATATGTGTAAAAAGTGCATATTTTCGTGCTGAGATGGCTAACGATGTGCATCGAGATCGCGCGCCGTGCGTTCGGAAAGCTGATGCCAGTTGACCACAGTCCGGCGCGTTCACAGCACGCATCCCACCCGCACACATCTCACTCAGATCACAGGCACGCGAGGAAAGACAATTAAAAATTAAAAAACAGCAATTAGAAGAAAAAAATGTCTATGGCCGTTTTGCGCGCGATCCGAATTTCGAACGCGAGAATTTAAAAAGTGATGTGCTTTCAGTGTTGAAATTCTCCGTGCCCCGTTTCGAATTGTTTTAATTTAGTTTATTCGACTAAAGGGTTACGGTTGTTTTGTATGTTTAATTGCTGCGTGTCTACAACTTTAATAGTTTCGGATTTTTGCTTTGGAGTAATTTCGGATTCTATTATGGTAAGTGATTAAATACAAATGAATAATTTGTTTACTTAATTAATTTCGCATTCTTTACTGCATAAAGATTATTTAAGTACAGCTTCTCGATTTTATTGCGGAGTACGTGTTTACGTTATCTGTTATAATAAAGGCAATACAATTACTCAATAATGGCGCTATGAAATTTTTGTAGCAAACTTAAACTTTCAACTGTTACCCTTATTTGTAAAACATACAATATACGTATGTATGCGTTAGTTTAGTTAGTAATGTTCGAAATCTCACGTTGCAGTTGAAAGTTTTTCCAATTTCTACGTGATTCGACGTTTTCGCGTTTCGCAGTGATATGAGTATCGCCGGTCTCATAAAAATACAGAGAAGTTGCCACTGAATGAGACCACAGAACAACAGTGATCCTCATACGTGAGTACCTTGAACTCACTTTATGGGGTACTCGAAACATATAATTTTACCTCTAAAATAAAAATAATAACATAAATATTTTCGATACATATTTATAATTTTTTTTTTATAATTCTTGATGAAAACACACCTACACGTTAAAAACACCTTGTAGTTCTAGGACGCTACAGCACCAAAATCGTTAGAGACACCATGTGTCTCTAGGAATCGCGACGGTTTAATTAGGTCTAACTAATTTATAGTATTTGTAATCTAAGAAGCAGAGCGACAAATAACATGTAATATTTTCAATTTAGCAAACACTATAATATAAAGGAAAAATACACAATTTCTGAATGATTCTAGAAAAACTTTCTACTTGAACAGAACAACATCATGTAGTAGCGGAAACTTAAAAAAAGGAACAATCCAGTTACCTACTGGCCAGTATTAAATCACAGGTCTTTGGCAGTACGTGAGGTCAGATTGTGCCGTCGAAAACGCTCGAAAAGGAAAACATAGTTTCGGCTCTCTAGTGAAAGTAAAATGCAGAATCATATCGCACCATAATGCACAACGTATGCATAAACTTTTTTAAACTTTAGAGCCACTTGAGATTCGTGTATACTACTCTTTTATTACCTTTTCTAACGGTGTAATTTAATTTTTTTGTTTTTTTTAGAACTAGGCAAATAGATCTCTTTCTACAACCTAAATATAAGTCTAAGCCTAAGTCTAGATTCTTTCTAAAGCCTAAGTCTGTAACCGTCGTAATGTCTCAGAATTTTCATGAAAATTTTAATTAATTTGGTTACCTAAGTAGTAACCAAATTTTAATTGGCTATATTTTTAGGCTATATTGGCGGTATAGTATTACCAGTGTCATAGACTTTAATTTGAATCTGCATGTGGACGTGTCATTGTTAATAATTACACGAGAAAAGAGGATGATAAAGAGGTGGGATGACAATGAAGGAAGTCAACATCGTCACAGGCCGTTGTCTCTCCTACCCCGATGGAAAGACCCCGAAAGACTGTCGCTTTCAATTAATAGATATCACTGTAAGTTTTAAGCACCTACTTATTACCGAATTCTACATTTAACTACACATAATATCATCATAATAGTAGTAAAGTAGGTAATTTAATAAATCGGAAAAAGTAGCATAACATTATACATACGTGTTTGTACCGTTCTATTACTGGCCACCGTTTGATTTCGTTTTTCCGTATCAATGCGTTGTTTTTTAATAAAATTTTCATGGAGTTAGTAAAATTAAATAGTAAATTAAATTGCGTTTAAAAAAAAATTAATTAACGATGAGAAATGAGGAGATCCGTAGAAGAACGAAGGTCACCGATATATTTCAAAGTCTTAGCAAGTTGAAGTGGCAGTGGGCAGGACACATAGCTCGCAGAACTGACGGCCGTTGGGGTAGAAAGGTTCTCGAAAGGAGACCACGAACGGAAGGCGTCCAGTGGAACGGCCCTCTACTAGATGGACGGATGACCTGATAAGCACGGCGGGTAACTGATGGATTCACAACGCGTCCGATCAACTAGTCTGGAAATCTTCTGGGGAGGCCAATGTTCAGCAGTGGACGTCTTCTGGCTGATATGCTGATGATGATGACGATAATTATAACTTTTTTTATAATAAAGGGCAACCTCAAAACTGCCAAGTTTTCTACACGTGCACAAGTAAAACATAAGAAAAGCCTACACACGGTACTTTTAATTCTCGTGTTTACGAAAATAACAATTATTTTTAAACGTAAATAATTAAATCTTACACGGTCACAAACGAGGAAGTGACTTCCTCTAATAGGGGTCCAAATTATTCGATGTTTTGCAACACCATCGTGATGATGGCAAGTAATTTCCGCGTTGCTGCCCCCATCTCTATGCAAATTTAACTTTTTAAATTGACGATATCATTTTTGTAAATTTCAAAGCATTATTCACATATTATAGTTAACGGGCTATTATAAATAAACTGTGGTTGTAAAACGTTTGGTTATTTTCCAATTTAACTGCGTTTCATAACTGCAAATTTAACTTTTCGATCGAGATGTTCGTATAGTTATTATTATTGTATTGCAATAGCAAAACAGGCTTTCCATAATAAAAATAAACACATTATTCACATTTAAAACATCTATACGATTGAAAAAAATATTCATCAAAACTGCTGGAGTACCGCACTGTATGGATGCCAGACATGGATAATCACAGAGAAAGACAGAGAGAGAGATTGGAGTCATTTGAAATGTGGTGATGCAGGCGAATGGAAAAAATAAAAATGTTTTTCTTTACTGTTACTTGTTGACCCAAGAAAAAGGTTTACGATCACTGCATCTTTCTTTACGTTTTAGCTAATCCCAAAAAAATCGAAGTATAAATTTGTCTGTAAGTGTGGGTTGTATCTGTTTCTATCCACAAAGCGGACAAATAGCAAATGAACTTGTTTGACCTATGTCACTTGCGTTCATTTGTTTCTACCGATAAAAATTATACAACCTTTTGTAATGAACATTCCAACCGGTTTCCGATACAAACATATCTCATAATGTTTAAAACACGTTCGTGCAAATATTTTAACTTTTAATTACGACCATAAATTAAGCGCATTAAATGAAAGCTTTTAAATTATATGGCAAACTAATAATGTGTATTTATTTAGTGTTTTTATATAATAAGGCGTGATTTACTGTTCGTAAATAAGTTTTATATAGTGACTAGAGGTAAGCGTTTAAATTAATCGTAAATAACGATAAATTGGTTTAAAAATCAAACTAATTTATCTAGCTGCTGTAATTACAAGTAGATTAAGTATATACACAACGAACAATCGAGATGGCAAACGTTACAAGTAATAAGAAACTGAGTATAATTTGACTTAATGAACAGCCCCATTATCTTTATACATTACTTTTGATTATAATGACCCTCCCTACCGACCCTTAGGGTATACGAGAAGTCACCATCTAAGTCATCTAAGTCCTAACCTCGGATTTGTACGGACTTCATCCGGTTCTCTGTAACGCTGTCGGTCTTAGGTGAGCCGCCCCCGGATGCACGTACAGCACCCTCTGGAAAATAGTCCAGATTGGTACCGGAGCTGTAGGTACGCTCACTTCCTGTCGTGCTCTGCGCAAGTAATGGTTGCCGTCGCTGAGCCGTCGACTCTGAGTCCACTACCAAATCTCCTCATTGGCGGTGGAGCTGTAAGGCACGCTCACTTCCCGACGTCGAATAAACGGCGTCTCTCCAGTTCCCAAATTCCTACGCGGCGTCTTATATTTACTGGAGGATGTTTAGCTCATCCTTTTCTAGCTCTCCGGGTTAGTGCGGGGGATGCCGTGTAGCAGTGTCTTGCGACAATGTCCGGACATAGGTAACGACTTAAAGGGCACTCACGTGTCCCGCGCTTCTCCTCGCCTTTAGACCTTCGTCTAGGCCGCTACTAAGACGCGTTAGCTGCTCACAGGACGATCGCGTCGGCGACACGCCACCGAGGCAGACGAACGTCTTCATCCCTGCAGCTAACTACAAACCCCGGCGAGTCCAAATCCAAGTTCGGGTCCGCCAGAGACGCCTGAGAAGGCGTGTCTCTAGCGTATGTATGGAACAAAATTCATCACATGTTTTTTTTTATAATATCAAGTGACGGGACGAACAAGTTGTGCGCCTGATGGTAAGCTACACGCCTGTCCATAACAGTTGCAATGCCATTGAGAGCTTCAACTCGGAAAGATCTGAGGGGCACTGCCACTGCGCCCGTCACCCTGAGATATAAGTTGACAAGTCCCATAGTGCATAGGCACTTTTTCACCAGCACCCTTCAAAACCGGAACACAGTAATGCTAGCATTACTGCTTGGCGGCAGAAATATGTAAGGTGGCAGTACTTCCCTGGACGAACTCTCTCACAAGGAGCTCTACTGCTTACAAATGCTTATAAATGTTAATGCTCAAAGAAGGATTGAAAGTTAATTTTTATAACGGAATTGCACATGACATGTTTAACTTTATGCCAATTAATTTTTTATTAAATGCCAGAAGGTTTCACCACCATGACATTCAATTATTTTTTGTGAAATTACTCCACTAGTTTGTTATAATTATTAAAACAAAGATTGATGAACACTAAAAATTTCTTTTGATCCGTCCGGATTCCAACCGACGTTTCCTAACAAACCGTGCCAGACGCTATGCCAAGCCATGGAACGAACCAGCGGATCTCACGAATTTCTCCATGTGCTTGTTGTCGGAACTTTGTATTTGGTTTTCAACGGCTTTCTTAGCCGTAGCGCCATTTGCCAATTGTATGCCAATTCTTTAACGCACCAACTAGATACGACGAATAGCTACGGGAATTTCCGAGACTGCGCTTGAATTTCCCAGAAGACAGTCGAATGGTTTTTAGCTGTTATCTAGTTTGAAATCCATTATGCTATGGTTACGAAAACCCGCTTCCGTTCTGGCAATGTGAATTGATTCTAAATCGAAAACGCTCTACCGTGGTCCAGAGGTTGTTTATGTTCTTTTAGATGCTAATTCTAAGCATTAAAAACAATTTGTTTTCCTTTTTCTCTTTTAATAAAGTCGTTTATT